CACACTCCTACCTATCCACACACCCATCCATACACACACACACACACACGCACACACACATACACACACACACACATCCAACATGTGACTCGTCCCCAGGCTGGATTGGGATAAAATTCCCGGATGCTTTTATTCATTTATTTTCTTTTCTCTTCCATCTCATTGATCGCTTGGTTTGGTTGACAGTAGGTACAGTCGAAGGAGGATATGTTCTCTGAATAAGCTACGGGCTGTAAGTGAGCTGAAGAGTAGTTGTGAACTGCATCTTTATGTCTTGTTGGTTTGCGTTTCTGGGCGAGAAAATGAATTGCCTCAAATTTGCGAAACTGAAACACTAACGATGCTCGCAGAAATGCCGTACACACATCACTTTACTTTTATTACATTTTCCAGGCTTTCCTGCGCAAGATACAACTTATCCATTTCCAGCTCTCTGGCCACTTATCCCACATTGCGCAGGAAAGCATATACTAACCTTGCCGTGGTATCGAATTTGTAAGGCACACTTACTCCGAAACCGGGCGAATCCAACACAGACCTGATACAGCCCAGCCAAGTCTGAATACTTTATTGATGGACACATTTTTTAATAGCCTGAAATAAAGTCTTGCACAAAGACTGTATCAGCACAGCAAAAAATCCACTCTAATCCAAACAAATCAGAATCCATCAAAGCAAATCGAAGCCAGAAGTGGCTTGTCATTAGGCATTTTTGGCATGTAACTAGACATTTGCCCGATCCTGCGTGAGCAGGAGAGTTTCTTGATTTGTAAACAAATTTGCATAAAAATTTTGCCCTCTTATCAGCTAGATCGCCATTTTTAGCGATTTAATTGGCTCTCAGGTTTTATGGCCAAACCCTCGCAAAGTATGAGCCCCAAGCGGTTTTCGGTCAGCGATACGTCGAAACCTTGCGCTAATTAATTTTTTCAACTTTACAATGAATCTACTGGCCGGGTGGATCAGGGCCAGAGGAAGGATCTTCTTTGATGAGGAGTAAGCATAAGAATTGGGGATGGGATAAAAAGGGACGCTTCAAACAATGGCCAGGCAGGCATGGTTGCTTTGACTACACGTTTCAATTGTAAAATATACCATTTCGTAGGTGGCATTTAATTCTGCCTAGCATACACACAAACAAACACTGATAAGGAGACGAGGAAGCCGGGCAAATGTCAAACCGTAGTCTCATTCAGGCGACCGATAGGCGGAGCAAAAGGTGGGTCAAAACCTCAATATTTGCCAGACTTTTGCAAGTGTTCCGGCTAATGTCCGTTTGTGCATGCCTACTTCTGTGTGTAGACATGCGCATAATCAGATGGAGGTAAAGCGGACAGGGGTTATGACGAAATCGCCAAGATGCCCCATTCCAGGTTGGCATGGAACAGATTTTCCGCAATCTAGTCTGCAGACGCGGGGCCTACGGGTCGGAGGAGAGTTTGAGCAAAGTCCACTTGGACCAGAAGCTGACGTTACAACCCGCAGGAGAAGGAATGAAATGCTGCAGCTCTTGAAGCGATCAAGGACAGGACGAGGCTGAAGCCTGAATATAGAATTACTACTCAAAAGTGGAAAAAAGACAGTCTTTTTAAAAGAAAGCTGTTCTGAAATGCTGAGAAAGAGTAGAGTTTGCCTCTCAGCCGTCCACAACAGACATTAGTTTCAGCAACGTTACACGCTTGTATGTGGAGAATTAGGAAAAAACTAAACTCCACCATCCCTCCCCGCAGCAACTGAAATGTCCGACCGAGGGTGACTAAGACTGCATTCAAGAATGTCTCCTTTTCACCGGCGCCATTAGCAGAAGCCGAATTTCTCGGCCTCATTTCGTTAATTGACTGGCTCCTTTCGTCCGGCCCGACAACAACAACAACAACAACAACAACACGCTTACTCGACATGCAAGTGTAGAGGCGCCCGGCAACAACAGCTGCTTGAGGACTTCGCCCGGCGAAACCAGCAGACGCGAGTACCATTTTTGACTTGACACTCCGTCTTGTCCACTGCCCCGGTTACCGCCGGTGCTGGGGAAGGGGCGAGGGGGGCATTGTACGACGAAGGAGAGCCAAGACATGAATCGAGTAACTACTTGTCGAGTGGGAATTGTCTTAAAATTCAGCCCGTTCGGCAGAGAAGCTGATGCAGACTGAGTGCGCCTGCGGCGGAAGTCGAACCCGCATGCGGAGAGAGACTGGAATTGTGGAAACTGGTCTCCTCTTTTGGACAAACAACTTTATAGTCGGCCTAGTCAGCTTAAAAGGATGAAAGACTGGGAGTGAATACTTCCCAAAATAAAATGCATTACAGGCCTCAGAACGTCCCTTGCCTCCTGCAAGCATATTCTCATCCCAATTTGACTGGACTGGCCTCCAACTTGCCTCAACTGGCCTCCACAGCACCCCCAACGGGACTCGAGCCTGCTTGTGAAGCAATACAATTTTGACACGTTACCACCACGCCTTACTGCCGCCACCAGTGTCATTCTCCTGCGCGACAGAAGAGTATTGAAGAGCAAACTAGCTCCCAACCACTCCGATCACACTTTCTATTGTGGGATTGTCGCTGAAGCAAGCATTATTCACCATTACAGTTGGCAACGCTACTTGTATCAGAGTTCAGTAGTATTTAGAAACTTTCAGTAAATTAAAATCAATTAGCCTGATGAAGAGTACAAGTAGTGCATTCAAGATCTACCGATAGCCTCAAAAAACTACTGAACTCCGATACAAGTAGCGTTTTCGACTTTATTTGCGAATCCCACAATTGGGAATTGTGATGCGAGAGAGGCCCAGGTTGTCTTGAAATTGACTTTTGCTTGGGGATAAACGATATGGCATAGTGCCGACAAATCGAAATGGTTGGCTGTACCACGGAAAACTCGGTTCAAGTCCCGTCGGAGGTGATGAGGAGACAAGATCGAGTCGAGTCCGGTTTGGAGGAGAACAATTTTGAGAAATAAGGCTGTGGGAAAAGTTAATAGAAACGTGATACAATTCATCCATCAGACCCACATCACATCGTAAGACAATCTGCTGGTTTTGGGATGCCAATAAATTTTATTGAGCCCCGCTTCCCAAAAGGTGTTCATCTTTCGGTTGGACTGGACTGCAGGTTTGGCCTCGTCCGACGGGACTCGAACCGGCCACTGCCGAGCAGACGTGGCTTTACTGTTTGCGAGGCGAGGCTCGATGAAATTCGCTGACGATCTTAGACCAACTCGCTTTCCTTTGGTCTAATTCAGCATCAGCCCGTTGAAGCAACCAGTGCTTGACCGCAGCGTCTAGTCACGACCCGCTGACGGTCTCGAGGCGAGTCGCGTCTTCTCGTCTTTCCAACAATGCCCTTTCGGCCGATTCAAATTGGACTGGATGATCCGCCTTGACAGCAACTTGACAATTTGGCCTGACTTCCGCGAAGAAGGGCAGGGTTTCGAGCAATATGTAGTTCACCAATTGATGAGATCACTTCCATGCCAAATGAAAGCGCGTATCACCTTGAAGCGGCTTTAAGGTCGGTCCCACTCGGACAAGATGGCGGATTCCTATTGTCCACGAGTCGATTGGTTGTGTCGAAACATTCTAGTTTACGTTGTCCCCAAAAATACTGAGCTTTGAAGCCTTTTGTTGGGAATTAATGTGACATGACCCTTCTCTTCTAAATAAAAAGTCATGACATTATAACTCGCATTAGATTCCGGTAAAGTGGACATAGTTTTAGTCCATCATACGATAAACATAATCAGAGCAGAGTTTCGAGACTACCAGAAAATCAGTAATATGAAATGTATTCAACCAATTTGGTTTGAGGTAATGAAGGACTTGTAGAAGAAGAATTTTTCCACAATCATATGAGTAGAGCTGACGTTTCCATTCAATTTCCCATTGCCTTGCTTTCCCAAAAGCTGTTCTCATCCCGGCTGGAGTGGACTGCAGTTTCAACCTCACCTCGGTCTTATCAACACCCCCAGCGGGAGTCGAACTGTGACAGTGCAGAATGGCAGCTTGACACGTTAGCCACTCTACCACATTGCATTTTGCCATGTCATATTCTTTGGTGGGATTGTCGATTGGGCAAACGTATATCTGCTATAACAATCGACGGCGTTACTTTATTTTTCGAATTAAGTATTGTTTTCGTAAATACATCTCATATTACTGATTTACTGTCAGTCACGAAAACAATACTTGATTCGAAAGATAAAGTAACATCGTCGATTGTTATAGCAGATATACGTTTGCTTCATCGACAATCCCACCATTGTGGGTAAATTCTACTACTAGCCCTTCATCACTTTAAACGAAATAGAGTGAATGCATCTCATAATCAGAGCAGGTTAGCATCATTTTTACAATCATATTTAAGCAAAAACATAAGCGCGTACAAGCAAGCAAGCAAGCACACACACACTTGTTGCTAGATTGCCATATGACGTGGACAGACGTGAACACCAAATGCATGGGTTTGGGGATAAAGAAGTACGTTTTCTTGGCTCGTTGTCGTGAACACGATTGTGAAAATAATACACAAATCTGATGATGTCTGTGGTTTGTACTGTCGCAGAGACAACATCAACCAGAAGGTTCCGGTAGAGCAGGCAAAAAGTGTTCATAATAAATTGGCTGTAGTCTTCAGATGGGCTCAAACTTACAATCCCGTCATGGCACACTTTCATTCGAAATGGAAGTGAGCTCATCAATTCGGCGCAGGAGACCTGCGTTGATGTGCTCGGAGTCTACCAGTTCGTAGCGTCAGGCAGACAAGGCCTGGACGCACCAGACAGCCGTCAAGGAATCCGGAAAAAGAGCAAACATGCTTTAAAAGGAGTAAACTCTGTCCGAGTTTGCTCTGTCGATTTCTTGCAGAGTCCAATAAACACACAAACAAACACACAAACTGACACACACGCACACACACAAAAGACAACCGCTTTCGGCAAATGCTCTCAAGGGACAGAAGCAGGCGCCGATTTGGCAGAAGACAACGATCCTTGCCCCCCTCATCGAGGAAACAGCTCCACGCCGTCTCGTTCGAATAGGGCGCTCCCCTTTTGAAATGGACGTGAAATGTCTCGTGTGTGTGTGTGGTGTGTTTGTGCATTTGTGTGTTATGGGCACAACGCCGGACGAGCAAGATGTAAGCCAAACTGCGGGTGTGATTGCAAAAGTTGCCCACTCGCAGGCGCCTCTTTCGGCGAGGCTCGTGGGTGGAGTCTACGACTCGTCGGGAGTGCGTATACTTTTCGCCGCGAGTGAAGGTGTAAAGGTTTGAAGGTGTGAAGGTGAGCAAAGTCGGCGAGAGGGCAGAGCCCCGAGGAGAAGAGGAAAGCGAGGAATGGCGGAGTTTGGGGCCAGTCGAACGCGAGGCAAGTGGCCGGCGGCCATAAACGAGACCAGATGATGCCGTCTCCGAACGGACCGAGTCGGGTTAGAAGGCAAGACTGACTGTCCAGCCTCACTTTTGCAGAGGCGCCCCGAAGGGCAATTATTGCCGGAGGAGAGCTAATAAAAATGAGCCTATTTTTGTATGATTAGTCGTCGAGACTATCAGTAATATGTGAAAAAAACGCTTAGTCGGCCTAGACGGCTCAAGATGAGTTGAGGACTAACGGTTGAGTTGCCCCACACAATCGGGCTAATAGGCCTCGGCAACTACTATTTAGTTCGAATACCAGCCAATGTCGTTCAGGCTCGCCTTCGAGACGGTGTTGTTCACTCGAGTGTGATATGCAGACGACACGATGCCAATGAAATACACTCTGGCTTGCTTCAAAACCCACTTTTCCCAGCAGGTTGGAGTTCTGTTTCGACTCTGCCTCATCGTGGCAATAGGCACCTCAACACTCCCCAATCGAGCACTCAAAGCTATGTTCTAGTAGCTTTCTTAAAATAAAGGAAAACAGACTGAAAGACGGAGAACATCAACCCATTATGCCTCGATTGAGAAGTCTCAGTATAACTAATTTGTATAGTAAATCAAAATTGACGAGTCCTGAAATCTCAAAAAAAGTATCACTTCCTCTGCAAAAGGTGATCTTATACTATTTTCCTATTGGAGTAGAGTTTTGAGATTACCAGTAAATCAGTAATATGAGATGACTTCATGCAATTTCGTTTAAGGTGTTGAAGGAATGGTAGTCGAATTTCCCCACAATGATACGAGTTGAGCTGACGTTTCCATTGCATTTCACACAGCCTTGCTTTCCCAAAATTTGTTTTATCCAGGCACAAGTGGACTGCAGATTCGACCTCGCATCGGTCTTATCAACACCCTCAGCGGGAGTCGAACCGCGACAGTGCAGGGTGGGAGCTTGACCGCTCCCACAAAAGAATATGATATAGCAAAGAGGCTAGACCTTCCTTGACATTCACTTATGCCCTGTGAATCAGGGGTACTCGTGGCCATGTAGCCAAGTAGTTAGCATGTCAAGCTCCCATCCTGCACTGTGGCGGTTAGACTTCCGCTGAGGGTGTTGATAAGACCGAGGCGAGGTCGAAACTGCAGTCCACTCTAGCCGGGATGAGAACGACATTTGGGAAAGCATGGCTATGTGAAAGGCAATGGAAACGTCAGCTCAACTCATATGATTGTGGCAAACGAAAAAGACTAAACACATCTTACTGACAATTTCGAAACCCCACTTGCAAGAGAAAAATAAGTAGTCATAGTTAGAACTTAGTGACTCTAGTCCTGTTAAAACGATCGTAGAACTTATAATGAAGTCTTTTACACAACAATCTACTCAAACGTAAATTAAGTAATATGAGATGTATTCACCCGATTTCGACTCCCACTGATGGTGTTGATAAGACCGATGCGAGGTCGAAACTGCAGTCCACTTTAGCGTGGATGTGAACAACTTTTGGGAAAGCAAGACCATGTCAAATTGAATGGAAACGTCAACTCAACTCATATGATTGTGGGAAAATTCTTCTTTTACCAGTCCTTCATCATATTAAACGAAATTGGGTGAATACATCTCAAATTAGACTTGCTATTCGTCCTTAAATGTCCAACTTTGATTAAGACTTCGAGTCATCCCCGCTTACTGAAGGTGAGGAAAGGACTGACC